ACCAGAGAACACTATACCAACGAGAAGCGACAGAATCGGCGGTTCCTTTGATGTTTTGTGGTCACGCTAGAGTCGACCGATTTGACAGAAACACAATCGTTTACACTGAGAGAAGTTACACTTTTGAATAGATGTACACTGAACGAACTGCATCAGTATCAAACAATGTTCATATAATACAAGGATAACTGTGGTAAAATGTAGACAAATTATATATAATATATGTATAAAAAATAATACAAGATGTTTTACAACTAATATTTTTATTAAACAGATATAATATTTTTCTGCAATATTTGAAATAGTTTTTTAAAAATAGGTACCTGACAATGCAATAACTTCTTTGGGACAATATAGGTATTTCGTTTGGCAATAAGGTTATTCTTACATTCCCTTTACCAATATATTTGGTTTCGAAATGGTGTTCACAAAGCCTATAATTCTTATAGACATCCACAATCCTAGGCAATAAATCGAGTCTATTGCAAGTTTCTATCCACACTCCAGCACTGCAAACAAAAATAAAAATTCTCCTAAAGATATTCTCTATACTTATGCAATACCATATTACAAGAGAACATACCACATTATTTTAAAAATCAAAATACTTTTTTCTGATTTACAGTTTATAGCTTGGTACTTAAAATAATAATAATAATAATAATAATAATTACCTTTCTAATCCTTACGTAATCTCAAAAGTTTTGATCTTTCACCAGTTTTGGATGAACAATCGCGAAAAGCACAATAATAACCATGCATTTTATTGATTTCAAGTTGGTTCTAATTGTAGATGGAAACGAAATACAATACAAATAAATCCACTATCAATTAATATTATACAACACAACTATCCGCCGCCAAAAAACTATTACTCGTTTCTTCTATTTATATTTGGCGGTTCTGACAGCCATTGACAACTGACAACAACACAACCCAATTCGCGCATGCGCATAAGAAAACTGTTAACGCAAAAAGCCTTGCTGTCGCTTCTCGTTGATATAGTGTTCTCTGTCACAATCATAATTGTGGAGTCAGAATTATTGGAATTTAATAAAAAAATATTCGTACTACTTGACATTTCTTACTAGTACTCATTGAAATATGGTAGTCTTTGTTACACCTACAGATTGCTATGGTACGTTTATTATCAATTATTTAATAAACAGTTCTATCTGAATTTGGTAAAAATGCATGAAAGTAATTGTGTTCCTGTGGCTGTTTTTGAAGAAGCTCAAGAATTAATTTTCCATTTATTGCCAGCGAAATCCAGGGAACATTATGAAAAAGTGCTCGCTGAATTTAACGAATAGAGGTGAAAATGGAGAGGAATGACAATAAATGAAGAAGTCATGCTATCGTATTTTTTAAATTTTGTAGAAAAAATATGCAAATTTATCTATGTATATCTATATATTTTTTTATTTTGATATTAGAACTGAATTTAGATTTTCTTCTAATTACACAGAAAATTTATTATCGCTTTTTGTAGGTAGATTAAATGCATAGTGCTCTCAAAACTTTAATTTAATGCTCATGTAATTGAAAGGTATTTATGGGTAATGGCTACTGAATAATTTACTGAAGAAGTAAATTTGCATTTTGCTTTTAATGCGATTAGGATTACTTCAAAAAGAAAATTAATACTTCACTTTTTAATCTTTTCGTACTTAGATACAATTTGCTAATAATAATTGTGCGAAATTGAACTGAAAAAAAAGCTATGACAAAAAATATTATGGAAATAAATAATGTGTTTTTTTTAATTTAAACTTTAATTTTTTCTTTAAACTCTACAATTATCAGTAGATTAATCAGTGATGTATTCTCCATCATTATTTATGACCCCCTCCCAACGTTCCTTTGATTTTATTATTTTAATATTGTTAACATCAACATAAAGAAGATAAAAAACAGGCAATTTTCTAAAGAAGAAGCAAATGAGATTACATTGAATGTCTTATTAATTATAATACCAAAAAATAACTAAAATGCTATCTGCCTTAGTCAAGAAAATTGTCATTCTATGCATAATTTTTTTATCATATCCAAGACAGCTAACGAGATGAATAGATCATCATTGGATGCTTTAGGAATCATTACTGGAAGAAACTCACAGGATATAAACACCTATATACAATATCTGAAGTAAAAATTATTACTAGTAGCTTATACGTATTTGACCCATTGTAGCCAAACGTTTTTTTTTTAATGTTTACGAATATTAAATTAGTTACACTATTCCTGCATTGTACGCAAACTGCTTGTTCAAAATCGCCACACTGTGATGATTTATAATAAACTCGAACCATTTGTTGTTTAATTAAAAAAAGCATTGGTGTATATCGCCCACTTTTCAAATTCGTTTGTATTCAGTAAATAATAAAGAGATCTTTTCCGGTCGCATTTTTGCTGAATCTCCTGATAACAAATCACGCTGCTCGCGCTTTTACACCGTGACAAAAAAAAAGTAGCGATTCGTTGCATGGAACACAAAATTGTTTACCAATTATGTCTAGATTTCAACTACAGAACATGTTAGTATTGTTGGAGGAAGTGTCCGACATTGAATGCCTCTTCACTAAAAGCCATCGCCGAAGGCGCCTTTCCAACGGTACCGCGGCACCAATCTTTCCCAACACACATCGCAGTATATGTTGCCAAAGCTGTGTAGTTATTGTAAGTAAAACATGCGCGATTTTAAGAGGGCATGAAAGTAGTACACCCTACCTTGACCTCATGTCTGGTTAACTTCTCTTTTTGTTGGCAATGGAAGATATTCGTACACAGGGAGTATCTCGAGAAGATGCAATATTACAAGTTGTTTCTGCGTGAAAAAGCTGATTCAACTTAAAAGATTTCTGTGTAAGAGCGCGTAATTCATTTACAGACTGGTTTAGACTTTCTGTGGTAGGTCGTTGATCCCTTTAAAAAAATTACAGTGTTAAACAAGAATTTGCAGATTGATTTAAAATTATCTCTGCAGTGTTTTTTTTTTTGGTTAATTTGCATTACGAATATTATACAGATTCCTTGAGTGAAAATAATAGAACCTCCAAATTAAATTTTTTATTAATACCTTGAATTTTATTAATACAATGAAATCATCAATCAAGGGAAGGAAGTTGCGAAATTAAACAACAGTTTACATTAAGCAGAAGTTGCAGTATATCATAAATCCAACTCTAAATCGAAATCTGGCAAAAAATAAAATTAAAAGAAGTGAATAAAACAATTGAACTGAAGAACAGTTCCTTTGAGAGACATACGTACTAGTATTGGGTATTAATGAGTTTGAGCTTAGATTAGTCTATTCCAAATTAAAAAAAAAAACATGTGCCGATAGAGGATAAAATTCAATGAAAAATTTCTAGTGCGGGACATAAGAAACAACGGAAATTGAAATTGAGGACACAATAATAGTTTAGTTTTAGATAAACAATGTTCAAAACGCTGTTGTCTTTATAAGATAATAAAACCCGATGTTGTCTCTTCCTTGGAATGTTTAAAATTGAATCAGTCTAAATCTAGTCAAGAACATAAGATTCATAACTGATACTTTATTGGGACTAATGCAGCAGTATGATACGAATATTTCTCTTGTTTTGGTTACTTGGAAAACCTAAGGCTAAGGCCGGTAACTGGTACTTTATCTTTATTGACAATTAAAGAAAAACCATATTTCTGCTGAAATACACAGAGTTTAGTTTTAATAATCCAGCATGCTTCCAAGGAATCAATCCTTCATTATCAGGATTTCGAATCTGTCAATTCTTGTAAATATTTAAATTAGCCCCAAGGGGAGCAATGTCATGCTCTCTTCTAAGCGATGTAGATAGGGTTTCTTTTATTATTAAAAATATCACTATCGTATTGATGCCAATTTTTTTACAAAGAAAAATTTAAGAGTTTCACATAAAGTCGCTATCTCATTTTTTTATGAAAAGCTTGCATTCTGTATGTCTACACACACAGATTGTTCATCAACTTTTATTTCGAAATGTAATTCACAATATTTTCTGTCTTCTAAAAAGACCTGTCATTTCATTCTTAAGTAACTAATTGATGCAGCAACCTAAATACCTATACATATAATTGTTATTTTATTATCCAAAACATTCTGTATTAATTCAAAGCTATTTATACAGGGTGAGTCAGAAAGAATGGGTCAACACTAAGCTGGAGATACTAGACACCGAATGTCGCAGGTTTAAAAATACAGGGTGTTCAAGGTTTCAATTTTATTGAAATTTCTCAATAATTGAGAAAGTTTATATATCTTGACTGAAAATTGGTAGTGTTGGATTTTTTGTTGTGAGAATTACGAATTTGAAGCTTATTTCGACGTTGCTCCTAGAGGGCACTAGTTTCACCCTATTATTTAGGTAAATCTAAACATATCTTTTTATCTGTTGAGCTAAGCTTAAAAAAGTTAAAAATCTAAAAGATCGTCAATTCTACATAAAAAATGTCCTCTTGTTTAGGTCGCCTAACTTTTCGGTTTCTGAGTTATTTGCATTTAAAAGTTTCAATGTATTTCGTGGTATATATTTTCTAAGTAGGCTTGTGTAAAATTTTCATGTCGATAAATATTAACGTATTTTGCGTGCGTGTGATTTATTTTTCGTGCAAAATTATCAAAAAATCCCACGACATAATAATTTTTCCAACATTGAGATGCGGGATATGATTTGTGTTTTTGCTCAGGCTAATTTTAATGGACATGGAAGATATGTACAATTGTACCCAAATAGATTGCAACCTAATTATAAACTATTCAGAAACCTTTACAACCGCTTAGGCGAATCTGGATCTCTTCGACCAAAAAGTAACCATGGTACTCCAAAATCTATCACAGTCGATGAACAAGAGGCAATTTCAATTCGTGTTTCGGAAAATGTAGAATTTTGAAAAAAGAAATGCTCCATCCATTACTATACTCCGGTTCAGCAGTTATTGGCTCAAGATTTACCAGCTCGCCTACAATTTGCTCAGTTTGTACAAAATATGCAAACGGAAAACCCAGATTTTCTCAATAAGTCTCTATTTACCTGTGAGGCGACATTTAATAAACGGGGAGTTTTCAATTGGAAGAACAATCATTTGTGGGATTCCGAAAATCCGCATGCTGTAAAAAAGACATTTTCAGCATGAGTTCATGCACGACGGTGCGCCACCACATTTTGCCTTGTCAGTATGCCAGTATTTAAATGAATATTTTCCTCATCGGTGGATTGGCCGTGGAAGTGAATTTAGTTGGAAACCGAGAAGTCCAAAGTTGAACCCTCTGGACTTCTCAGTATGGTCAAACTCGAAGGATGTGGTGTATCGTGAAGAAATTAATTCTATTGAGGAGTTGCGGCAGAAAACAAGTAGCCGCGAATACATTTAAAAACAATAGGGACATTTTGTTTAATATTCAGAGACATTCGTATCATGCATGATAAGCTGAAACATAATATTTCGGTGTCTAGTATCTCCAGCTTAGTACTGACCCATTCTTTCTGACTTACCCTGTATAACTCTCTCTATAGTTCTATAGTTCCATAAATTAATATCTGCATATTTGATACTTACCTAAATTGGGTAGAAATGATTATTTTTTCATCAGTGAAAACACGCCATTCTAAATAAATAATCAATTCTCGTCCGCCGAATCCGTAAATTAATAAGGGATCTTTTCATTTGTTTCAGTCGCGACAACCATTTCCTCCAGATGCGAAGGTAAACAAACGCCGATTAAAGCCATAAAAAATCTTGCAGGAATGAATCTGGGACCAGTGAACTGGAAAAGTAAGCAGTCCGGCTAAAGGACAAACCCAGAAAGCAATGGCAAATATAATGACGGGCGCAACAGTGGCTGCAAGCACTGAGACAACACGTCGTGACCGCCGTGACACACTCTGGGCTCGGATCCTGCACAAGAGACAACTTTCCTAGCACCGGTATGCCAGTACCATGACGGTACCCATGAAGGTATCACGTGCGTTCTGGTGCATTAGTTGGTGCTAGTGCAGAATGTGATTCTGGAAGGACAATTTTGGATATTCTTCTTGTTTTCTCAGGTAGGTAAATACATGGACCTGTATTCGTGTTAATTTCACTATTCTTTCCAAAGTTTCATTCAATTCAAATACTAATTATCGATTTTCGTACCAATCTATCATCAAAAAGTGATATGTACTGATATATGTATGTATTATAAATTTAAAACTATAAAGCATGTGACATCTAATTCATCAACGCTCTTACTGTCATTTAATGAAGCTTCTAACAGGTTTGAAGGACAATTTCTGTCCACAAGAGTGTCATAGTTCTTAAAAAGTTATAAAAATATTTCATATATCATTGAAAGTTAGTTTTGGACTTCAATTCATACAACATTACGATTTAAATTTGTGTAAGCGTTTTTCCGGACAATGTCTTTAGTTTTCTTGTAACATTTATAGATTATGATATAAATGGCATGAAAACAATACTTTTTTTCATTTCTTGATAACTTTGTAACTAAAAATAGTTATCAGAAATAAATTCTTACAGTCAATATCCTACATCCACTAGAATTTTTCTGGTGCTTCCAAATTATGGTTGTTTGATTAAAACGTATAAATATTTTATAGTTTCTGAGATAGTGGACATTATTAAGTAAATCAGGCTATGTAGACGACATAATTCAAATTAAACATAAAAAAAAACAAACGTTCCGCTGTGGTTTGATTGTAATATAGTTTTATAAACCCATTTGCTTGGTGGAATTTCTAGCGGAAATAATATATTAAGGATTGGTTTGTAATGTTAGAAAATGTAGGCCAATTTGCATAAAATAGAACTATGTGAGTGTCCTTGTGCACGTGAGCTAAAGTATTTCCTCTCATTTTGAGTTGACCGCAAAGATGGTAAGTTAAATTCTTGTGTACAATTATGGGATACTTGAACAGAAAATATGAATTCCTGGATATTTGTAACTGACAGTGAACACAGTATTTCAAAAAATGAAAATAATATTGTTCTACAACGTGTTCTGTGTAAGCACGTCCGTATAAAAATATATATTTGTATTTTTATCCAACACTTGTATATAATTATTATACTATAATTTCTTTGGTTTTAAAGGAATAGTGTGGCCTATAAAGTCACTAGTGAGTTATAAGTCTTAAGTCACTAGTAAGTTGTGACTTATAACCCACTAGTGACTTATAGAAATCATAAAAAGACAAATGTTTGGTTTATTTTCTAATTTTTATTAGAAAACCAATTTGAAACAGTAATAAGTCAACAAATAATCTAAAATGCTACAAACTTACAATCTACCTACTTATTAATATTAACATTAACATTTATGGTAAAGCCGTATTTTGATGCCAAAGGATTATTGGAATCATTTTGTCATTGTGGTAAATTTATAGAACAGATTTCCCCTTTACTTGTGCTTGCTTCAGGAGTTTGCACCCATTTTGCTGGAAATTGACTTTTCTATATAACCTTCTACCACGGTAGATGACTTCCATCCACTGTGGTGTTTGAACGTTGTAATATCCCCTCCAGCATTGGCCAAGAGAGTTGCAGATGTGCATCGCAAGCCATGCCCTGTATATAAATTAAAATCTGTCAAGCCCAATAATCGCGCAACAATCTTAGGAATTTTTGATAGCTTATTAATACCAACACATTGACGTGTGAATTTTCCATTTTGAAAATTGCAAAAGATCTTTTTATGCTGCACATTTTGAGGCCTTAGCTTAGAATATATTCTAATTAATTCAATTGGATTAACACAAAATCCTTCATTTAACACAGCAAAGCTTCTTGGTTTGTTCGTTTTGGTATTTGAAATCATGATGAGAATATACTGCCCAATTAAAGGAAAAATGTAAATTTAAAAGAAACTTCTGTTATTTTCCTTTTTAGAATACAAAAACAAACAAAATAGATATTAGATAATACATAAATATTTATTAAAATTAATTTTACGTGCGTTTCATAAATGTTAATGACAAATTATGCTGTAACATAGGTCGTGACCGACGTGACATACTCTGAGTCCGGATCTTGCGACAGAGACAACTTTAGGTAGTTTTACAAGTACGATGGTAGTACCCATGAAATATTCCGGTTATTAATTAGTGGTGATACAGGATGTAATTGTGTCCCTAACCTTTTCCTGTGACACGAAAGTTATGATTGCATCGTATTAATTAATTACAGTTGATTCATTATTACATTTCTAAATTGATGATGTTATTGGCAAAGTACGACTAGGATAATATTTATACAGCAGTTTTTTAATAATGTTTGTGCAGAGATAAATTTTCAAAAAAACGGATGTGTGTAAATGGGCAGTCTCAGGTATAATCGAATTAGTATAATAAACAGATAAAGTTAAAAATTTATTCAAAAGTTATACTGAAGAACCGATTTTTTCTCAACAAATATACGTTCATATATATTTGCGTAAGGGCTTCTCACTAATTTATATACACCCTGTATGCAAATGAAATCTAAACGGCATTGGTAGTGCGAAAAACTTACAACGTCTACAAACAAATATTTAGAAACACTTATGGACCTGAGAGAGACTTCTTCTAAAACAAAGAGACGTACATTTTTAGAATTTGAATCTTGAAATCTTGTTGCACACGTGCATTTTTTGTCTGCTTCTTTTGAAAATTCAAACATTATGATAACTGTAGCACTTTCCGGTTATTCGGTGTCCAATTATCTTGGTTTTAGTGATTTAGGTGCTTCAAATTTAAATTATTAATTTCCAACAATTTGTGTGGTTGGATATTTACAATTTCAAGAGAGGAAAAACTATTCTTTACTTTAACGCGAAAGTCTCCGAAAATTAAAAATGCGGCTCTGTTTCTGTTCTTACATATGTTGTAACATTGTTATACGCTTAATTAAAACATTGTTGTTTCTAAAACCTGTACATTTTAAATTTTAATCATAGTAAGCAATTTTAATAAATAAACTGTACTTAAAAGTTATGTGATGACTTTTAACGGAAACGCTTAGATAATGTTGTAATAATCTGTGAGAATAACCTTGACAGAAGTACGGATATATTGGATTACTCTTCATGCCCATTATACAGGGTGTCCCGTTCATGATTCAAAAAAACTTGTGTTCAATTAAAGTTTTTTTTCTTAGACGACTTGTATGTTAAAGTTGAGGAAAAAATAAGTTAAAAGTTAAAATTTATTACGGTTCTGTAAACTCTAAAGCATACTACAAAAAAAAGGTATACTTGTCGAAATTCGGTAGCACGTGTAATTTTTTTTTCGTTTGTACCCCTCCAGTTACCTGTATCTGCGACACTGCTTTTCAGAAAGAAACCGTTTGCACATTTTTTTTTTGACATTTTCATCTTTAGCCGATTTAAAGATAATTAAGGAAAACCATTTGAAAAGTAACAACTTGAACACACTGTATTTCGAAAACAGGGTGTTCCATAAGGAACTTGCACGCAAGTTTTTTTGAGACATGAATGGGACACCCTGTATTTAGATTAGTGCAGAATGACATTATTCTTATACATTTTATTTTACAAATATTTCATTAAACAATTAAACTATTAAGTTCATTTTATATTCTAGTAACTTCCCAGATTTGTGTATGATTGCTAGGAAAATAATTTCCGTGTAAAATTAAATTTCAAACTTGAAAAAATTGAAGACTAAATATTTTTTGCCAGATTACCATGATTTTATTATCACTTAGTGACACATTTATGTCTACTTATCTATCATGTTTGAAGCAGTTGTGCATACCATATGTACATATACATACCTACATACCAGATGCTAAAAATTAAAAATTTCTCTTAAAACAAATTTTATCTGCTTACAATCAGAAAGCAAATGTGTGTAAATTCTTTTCAAAATTAAATCTAGGTTTCATTCTTCGCTAAGAAACTTCGATAATTTCCAAATGTATATGCCATTGAAGTATAAAAAGTTTAACAAAAAATAGAACAGTTCAGTAGTGACACAAATATGTTAAATAAGGACAAACTGTCATGGTCAGAAATTCGAAGATTTTATCTTTGAATATGATAACGTTTTTGCAGTTGACCTTAGGCAAATACAAAAATTATAAAAAATAAATATGCCTGGAAGGAATTGGTAAAAGTTTGAATACGGCGATTGTTTGTAGAAACTCAGAGTGGTGAAATTTTAAGGCCACAGTTAGGTCAAACAGATACATATTTATAAATCACCTTGTGTGATACAAGGTGTTTCAGCAAAAAGGAAACATGGACTTTATGAAATATGTTATATTAAGTACATAATTAAACTTTTAATAGTAATAATTCCTCATAGATTGTAAAAATTCCAAATGTGTAATTCTTCTGTTGATAAATAATTAGGCAGGAAGAGGAAAAATATAATTTTATTAATATGCAATAATACTTCTAACTTCTGCAAATTTAGAATTCAGAGCTTCAGAACCACGTTCATATGTTACTTTTAATTACACACATAGTTGGATGATTCTTTCAAAGTTGGCTATTACTTATGCAAAATGTTACATTTTCTCCATTAAAAATATTTGTGTTTCAAAATTTATAAAACATTGTAGTTAAATGTAGAGTTAATACATTGGATGGCAGAATACTGCAAAAATTGTTTTCTATTTATTTATGTACATCTTTTTGCCACACACACTTATTTTTCTTCACAAATAAACTAGGTATGTTCATAAAAAAATTATATAAATATATGACCCCGTATTTTATATCTATTTTGATATACTCTAAAACAATATCAACTGATTTGCTTATTTATATCATTATCCTGAACCGCAGGACGATGCTAATGTAGGAACTTTATTTACACATACAATTGACAAGTACATATTAAAGAAAATTACCGTAACGTAACCTTAAAAGGTGCTATAAATAAATTCCAAAGATTTAATTATATATTCTACAGTAGGGTGGAGTGAAAAATTTTTGTTTTAAATTTTAAGATTCCTGTACCATCAATCGATGACACCTAGAATTAGAAGTGTTCATGTAAAATTTCAGCTAAATGAATCGATATATTAAGGTGGCGCATTA